CTTGTCTTTCTTCGGAGCACGACAATCTGTAGATTTGTGTCCAGCTTTCCCACAGTTGTAGCAATTCCCGTTGAACCGCTTCTTGCTTGGGTTGCTTTTCGGTCCAGAAGCCTGCGTCCTCTTTCTCTTATTTTAAGGAGTATCCTCAACAATATTTGCTCCCATTATTGTTGTTTTCTGGACTGCCTCTCTTTTTAGCAGCTTTGTTGTCCTCTTCGATTCTCAACTGAACAATGAGATCTTCAAGAGACATCTCCTTGCGTTTGTGTTTCAAGTATTTTTGAAGCCCTTCCACAAATGAGGCAACTTCTCAATCATCGCTGCAACTTGGAATGCTTCATTGATGACAAGACCTTCAATGAAAATTTTGTTAGTAAACATAATAAAATTAATACTTTCAACATCAGTAGTAATTCTACTTATACCTTCAGCAAGGAGATCGTGAATAATCACTTGCAATTCCTGGACTTGGGTAATAACAGACTTGCTATCTACCATTTTGTAGTCCAAAAATTTAGCGGCAACGAATTTCTTCAACCCGACATCTTCAGTTTGTATTTCCTTTCAAGTGCAATCCATAGTTCTTTTGACGTCTTCACATTACTGTAGACGTTATACAGATTGTCCTCCAGTCCGCTAAGAATATAATTCTTGCACAGAAAATCAGAATGCTTTCACGCCTCAATCATGAGAAAGCGTTCATTCTCTGGAGTTTCATCGGGCAGAACAGGAACATTTTCCTTAATGAACTTCTGTAGACTTAAAGTAGTCAAGTAGAAGAGCATCTTCTGCTACCACCGCTTGAATTCAATCCTGAAAAATTTTCCGGATTTTTCTGCCGGTGCCAATGCCGGTGTTGTTCGGCTTGTCGTTGCATTGACAGTCACCATAGGAATAGTCTGGTTCCCGTTGTCATTCGTCATTTCTGTAAAAGAATGACACAAACAAACGTTAAAATCACGTAAATTTTAATCTCCAATGGGTTAGAAAAACACAAAGGTTTTACTCTCCAGAAACAGTGAGTATAACACAAATACAGAAAATAAATTAAGTTCCTTAAGCTTGTTAGTATCCTGTATTTGTAAAATAATTCTGGAGAATATAAAATAACGTATAACAGAAATGGAAAAACAGAAACAAAATTTAATCCGAGCCTACTGAATTCATAGTGTTTTCTTAAGGAACTTAATCCCCTCCTAGTACCCAAGGTTGTGAATTATTTCCTCTCAGGGTAGAACGAATTACACACTGGTGTAGCGGTACTTCAAACCCCAGTGTTTCAGTGAACACAAAGATCAGTAGCAAATCACACTTACTGTTGCTTTCTTAGTAGTTAAAACAATGCAAAAGAAATGAGGAGAAGTCAGAAATTCGTATGGAAAATCTGAGAGAATGGACAACTTATTTATAGCCCCCAACCTGCTGAGTTCAAACGAAGAGAGGTCAGTTACGTAAAATGGCCATAACGTAAATGGCCATTTACGCAAATTAAAACGGGCAGAGGAAACGTTTTCCGTTACAAAAAATGGACGGGCAGAGTCAATGAAACGGATAATTTAGGTTATTAATCTTCATTTACAAACATGGATATTTAATACTATTACGTTAATATTTACTATTAACAAATAAATTTGGTCCAAAAAATTAAGCAATCAATCGTTTGACCGAATCCGAATCCGAATCGCCGAAGCCGCGCCGAGCGAGCGACAATATGAGACAATGTCCCATTGTCAAGGAGGGAAACTTAAACTTTTTATTTTCCCTCCATTTCTCATTCACCCTCTTTTAAGCTTATTTTAGCATAAAAAACTCAACAACGCTTTCAAGAGGAATATCAATGTCAGTAATAAAAGTCTTGGTTATGATAGAACAATTGAAACAGATGAAAGGAACATACACTAAGAATACCGTTTATAAGAAAGTATTGGGTGAGATACATTTAATTATAAATTTTTAACCTCATAAAACTTAAATTAGTATGCAAATCACATGTATCTAATTACACTTTACTTATTCATTTTTGCATGTTCGGACGAATAATACACTTAACGATGATTTCAAATGATCACTCACAAAAACTTATTATATTAGTTTATGTATATTCACTTACGGAAAACTTCATTTTATAATATGAATATTAGTTTATGATAACGTGTACTATTAAACTTCTCATACATGTGCCGAAAAACTTGTATCAATGATATATATTTGAATGAGAAATATATGTCATCTCTCTCTGTCTCTTGTTCTATTTTGCTTGATGTTAAAAAATTGATTAGCCCATTTGTTCACAAACTCTTGTTCTATTTTCGTCGACGTTAAAAAATAGATTATAGCCTATATGTTCACAAACTTCTTTGAGCAATTTATGCTAACTACCTATGAAAACTAAAATATTTATCCGTGTTTACCTATCTAAAACTTTGTTACAATTTATACACATTTGAACTAAAAATATTACCCGACTAGCCATATCTGTTTTCCCTTATCCCTTATACCTTTATTTGATTGGTGTCCAAAGAATCTTTCTCAAGCTGACCTTTAATTAGTTTGTGGCGTGGTAGTAATTAGATTTGAGCACCTTCTTTGAAGTTTTTTGTTCCTTTTTTTTAAAAATAAAATTCCTTAGAGCTATTTTTATTAATAAAAGTTTGAAAATTCTATAATTTTATTGCTTGTTGTGATTGAGAGCTGGAATGAATATATAATTTACTATTTTTTGAGATCTTTTGTTCTAATCTTTATTATCTTCTAGTATTGCATCATAAAGTATTTTTACCTTGTCATTTTGTTAGCTTAAATTATCATATGTTATTACATTTTTTACTTGCACAAGTTTAAATTTTCATAGATTTATTATAATAAAAATAAAATTCACTATTAAAGGACCTTGAAGCTTGAAATGCATAAATTGGTTTGTTGAAATTGTATTTATTTCGAACCAATTTTAACTAGGGTGGGTTTAATTATTTTTGATTTGAAGTTTTGGCTAAATTTTGAGTTAATAAGATTATGTGACAACTGATATTATTTCAGTTTAATAATTGAACTTAAAATTTTTTTTTAAACCCTTTGCGTACAACTGTATATCATGTTGGTATAGTTATATACTATACTGGTATCACATGTTAGTTGGAACCTTTTTTGGTTGTATTAGCTACATTTAATTGGTATACTATTTGATTTTTCTTTAGTAATAGTAGCATAGTACAATATCTTGATTTTCTTTTATGCATGTGTATTATGTAAGCATTTTGATTTTTTCTTTATGTATTTGTTTTATATAATAGTATTATAGTACAATATCTTGTAATACATTATTATATTAATATGCGGTACACTATTTTTGATTTTTCTCTTTATGCATGTGCATTATGTAATAGCAGTATAGTCATATATAGTTGCCTGGAATTAATTAGTAGAACTGTATACCCTATTGGTATAATTATATGTCGTATTGGTATCATATGGTAGTTGGAATATTTTTTGGTTATTTTAGCTGCATTTTTAAATGAATTGTATTCTGAAATAATTTATATGATCATGTTTTATTGTGTTGGATTTTCTTGTACCTATGGACATAGATTTTATATATTATGTAATAGATTTTATAGTTATATACAGTTGTTGGAACGACTCGTACAACCATATACCATATTGGTATAACTAAATACTATATTGGTATCATATGCTAGTTGAATCCTTTTGGTTGTATTAGCTGCATTTAATTGGTACACTATTTGATTTTCTTTTAATAACAGTAATATAGTACACTATCTTGAAATACTTTATTATATTAGTATGTGGTACACTATTTTTTTTTTCTCCTTATGCATCTGTGTTATGTAATAGTAGTATAGTCATATAGTTGTTGGAAATTAACCAGTAAAGTTGTATACCATGTTGGTATAGTTATATGCCATATTGGTATCATATGGTTAGTTTGAACAATTTTTTGGTTGTTTTAGCTGCATTTTTAAGTGATTACTATTCTAAAATTATTTATATTAACATGATTTGTAGTGCTGGATTTTTTTTGTGCCGATGGATATAGATTACGTGTCATAGTTATAGGCAATTGTTGGAACGACCCCATACAACTATATACCCTGTTAGTATACGGAATGAGCAAGTTGATTTGTGAATATTTAGCTTGCAATGCCAGCATGTAATTTTCTCATACTTTTATTGCCTTCTTTAGTGTTTTGGTGCAATAGTATAGTCGCAGATAGTTAGCAATAATTTAGAACAATCATATACTCTGTTGGTATATATGTATACCATATTGGTATCATATGGTACTAGAAGCCTTTTTTGCTACTTATACTTTTATTACATTTTTCAATATTTTATTATCATATTCTACTGATATTCAGTGAATTAGATCAAGTGACAACTCATATTATTTCAGTTTAATAATTGAATATCTAAAAAAGAAAAAAAAAAGATAAAAGGTATATTATACTAGTTATAATTTAAAAAAAAGGTGAACAAATATTTACTATATTAGTTATTTTTTCTTATTGTACAAGAAAATAATAAAAAATAGTGAAAACAGTAAATGAAATTAGATTATGAAGAGAAAAAGAATATAAAAAACAGAAGTTTAAATGAATTAGAGAAGGAAAAAAGAAAAAAAATAAGAAGAAAACGAGAAAAAATAAAAGGAGAAAAAAAAGAAAAAAAGAAAAAAAAAGAAAAGAAGCATAGAAATAAAAAAAAATTGAAGAAAAAAGAGAAAATTCCCAACAAAAACTACTATGGATAGAAAATGTAATTAGTTTGTCGGATAAAAAAACAAATAAGTAAACAAAAGTAAATAATTTTATTTTTGTGGATAACACTGTCATTCTCCCTTTTTGTTTCCTCCGTTTCTTGTTCTAACGTTAAAAAATAGATTAGCCCATTTATTCACGAACTTCTTTCTCTTTCTTTTTCTGTTTTTGGCTAAAAATGATTTTTCATGCCTAATTTTTTTATTCTTTTTCTCCCGAAAATTAACAGCGCTTTCATTTCATAACCCTAGCTAAGGTTCCGTAGGGATATATAATTTTATTGCATTCACTTCCGCAACAAAGTTGCGGCGGCTTTAGCAGAAAAACCTACATTTCCCGGCGAGTCTCTCTTCTTTTTGCCTTTTCCATTTTCTCTCTGTATGAAAAATTTAATTTTATAGTTGAATTGCAGAAGGTAAGGTAAGAATGGCGGTTCCATTGCTGAACAAGAAGGTTGTGAAGAAGAGGGTCAAGAAGTTCATTAGACCCCAGAGCGACCGCAGAATCACTGTTAAGGTACTTTTTCAGTAGCTCAATATCCAAACAAGAACGTGTTTTATACCCTTCTGTTAGTATATCAATTCTATAATATTTGTGTTGTGACATGTTTCGAAATTAGACTGCAATTGTGGCAATTTTTGGCTGAGATTGCACTAAAGCCTGATTTTTCGTAGGCCATTTGTTTCTTAATTTTTGGTTTAAATAATGCTTCAATATAGGGATGAAGAGATTCACATAAAAGTGGTGGTTATCAAAATTGTGACGACTTAATGTAGCTGCAAGATTGCTCATATATTGAATAGGTATATAATTGATCTCTCATTATTAATACCAAAAAGAGACTATTTTAGAATTATATTTGTGATATATATTTCAACAACTTGAATAGTGTACAATTACTAATAGTAGATGCCTATTCTCAACGTTCATTCTTTCCATCATTTCATCCTTGACGTAGCTTCACCTGTCAAGAATACGATGTTGCATATTGTGCTAGGAAATGAGTTTAAAAAAACTCTATAAAAACGAATAGAGGTTCATAACCATCTAATTTCTTTTTGAATTAGAGTTTTTCATACTTCCCAAAGTTGACAGCAATGAAGTGAGAATGTTTGGCTTGTTCTAAGTGACAATAGTCGATGACTAAGGTGCAAATAAAGAATAAGAGCACCTGAAAAGACATGTCTCGCATCTCCCTTCTCTGAAGAATCTCTATTTTGGTCGCACAACTTCTTACCATATGTCGCCTCACCGTCGACTGAATCACAGCCATAGCACCCAATGCGAATCAATTTTCTCTTGTGCCACTACCTATAGCCGGTCACAAACACACTAGCCACCATTTTCTTATTCTGTGTTTACAACCCCTATCTATCTTCTTCAGTCTCTCTTCCCCCATTATGCCAAAAGTTGGTGTTTCTGGGCTTTGGGCTGCGAGTCAATGCCCTCTCCCAATTCTTGCTTTGATTCCATTTTCTTTTTCTTTTGATTTTATTGTTAGAAAGGGGAAATAAAGATTCTGATGGCCTAGTGGATCGCCTAAATGGTTTTTGGTTGGTCACTTTTTAGTTATTACCAAGATCTCCTAAATTGTATTCTTTATAAAAGGGGAGATCATGATAAAATCATATGTTGTCAATGTGATATGTAGATGCTCATTCATTACTGTCTGGAGGATCGACTAAGTTTATTCATTCCGCGATCTTTAGATATTTTCATGTAGCCACTTGGAGTTGACATGTCCTCTCTTTGTAAGTTAGTGGAACCTAGGGATCAATTAAAACTTTTAATTTGACTAGTCAAAGACTTCTATTACTTTTTTATAAGGCCATTTAATCAAATATAACCCTATTTCTTTCTTCAGCCGACATCTCTCAGGCAAAGAATAACCATGAAAGCAAGCAACATAGGAGCAGAATCCTACTTTTGTTTGGGTCACCGAGAATTGTAGTTTAACCATGAAAGCAAGCAACAAAGGAGCAGAATCCTACTTTTGTTTGGGTCGCAGAGAATTGTAGCTTAACCTTATCCACATGACTCAATTTCAGCCGTCTCCTCAATAATTCCCTCTTTTTCTGCAAGAATTCAGTTGCACCAAATCTTCTATGTATTACTTATCTGCTCTTATCACTATGTATTTTGTTTACATAGTATTTAAGTTTTTCCGGATGATTTACTTCCAAATCCTCCGCCGGTGAGAGGGATGGGGGTACTAAGAATGGGATTGGGGGGATGGATGTGAAAAGTTTTAATGTCATTCACATAAAATGTAAATTCAAATGCAATACTATATAAACTACCTTCTAGGTTATACCGTGGCTTTAGTTGTCGCTGGTTCAAGAGACAGCAAAGGGCTCCCCCGGGTCTTCTTCCTCTAGCTGCTCCATTTGCTGCCGTAATGGAAGATTGGTGGTGGCAAAGGAGTTGTAGGATCAAGATCTGCATGTTCAACCATTGAGAGTGCCTGCCCCCTTGAAATGGAGGCAGCTCAAGCCACTGTTATAAAACTTGGAAGTTATATTGGTTAAGGTACCGCTACTGAATTTACATTGTTTGTATGATTGTCATTGGCGGCGATTTTGAAATAAATCTTTTGCGAAAATTGAAAAGTGTATTCTTGGCAGACAGCAAAAACATTTATAGAAAACCAAATAATAATCACAAATTCATTTTGCAGAAAAATTAGTGAAAGAAACTAAGATCAACTGCCTTTTGCCTTCACAGAACTCTCAGTTGTTTTTTAAATAGGGCGTTTATGATGAGAAGATTTCCTATCCTCCCCCAAAAAGTAGTAAGTTGAACATCTTTATGCATAAAAATAAATAGCTATTTCTTGAAATTACAGAATTTATTTTATAGGGTTTGAAAGCTAATCTCATTCATTAACCAATACCTACCATATTTTGGTAAGAATGGGAAATTTTAGAATACACCAACCTGTTCTCATGTTACTCTGCATATTTTTTATGAAAAGAAAGGTCATATTTTCTGAAATTTTGGGAATTGAACAAGTTTCCATATTCTACAAGAATAAATGGGGACTTCAAATATTTCCTACCTTTGATGCACCTTATATTTTCTTTGCCCTAATATCCTATAAAAGGTTATTCTAGACAACAAAATTCTTTTTTATTCTGAAAACGTGGAGACTAAATTACTGAACAAGTTTTGTGATAGAGTTGGGCCTTGAATGTTTCTGTTACTTGAACCCCCACTTGCACGACTTCATTATATTATCCTCTATCTGCATTTTGTAATTTGCCAGCTTTTAGTGTAGCTTAGACGATTCTGCAAGTTTAGATGTACGGTGGAATGAGAAAGCATCTAGTCTGTAGAGTATAATTGTTACTTTATCCTCTTCTGAAAAGTACTAGTTGCACGTGTGTGTTGCTGCAGTTAGTATAAAACATATACAAAAACTAGAAAATAGCAATTGCTCTTAAACTAAATGCGATTTTTGTTCAAATGATCAAAGTGACTGTTATTAGATTGATACAATTGTTGAATTCAATATCTTCTGAACATGTAAAGATGATGAATTCAGTTGAATTCGTTAAATAGTTGTAGTTATAGAGACAATATGTTATGCTAGTGTATCGCACCAAACATCTCTTTATATATGCTATATTCATAATGTTATAAAATAAGCAACAAAAAACAACAACAACCACCCAGTAAAAATCATAAAACCAACAAATAATAATTTTATTAATTAATTGGAAATTTTGGACAAACGATTTTTTAACACAACTAAATGCACACCCTTGAGCTACTTTTATAACAAAAGAAATTAAAAGTTCAAACATGTGCCATGCACTTTTCTTTCTTTCTTTTTTCTTTTCTTGGGTTGAGTTTAATATTAAAACTTTTTAATGTTTATATGTTTGTTTTTAGCATGATGATGGAATTTGTTTTTCGTAACCTAAGGGGTCGTTTGGTTCAATTGTGGGATAGACAAGGATAACCCCATGGGTTAGGTTATCCATGGGATTAGCTATCCCACCCTCTATATGGGATAACTAATCCCTCCATTTTGGTATAAAATTTATTTGGGATGAACTAATATCCATAACCAAACATGGGATAGATACAATCCCAAACTCTATCCCAGGATTAGTATCCTTATCTAGGTAACCAAACGACCCCCAAGTACATAGAATGCTTATTTGTTCGTTTAAAGTTCATAAAAATGTAAATACGCTAAATGGACCTTTGCACATGTAAAAAAACTGCCGAGATTGTTGTTGGCCTTAGTCTAAATTCATCCTAAGACCAAATAAAAGTTAATATTATCCTAAGCTCATTTTGGATAAATTCTGCCAATGAGTGCACATTGTTGAGGACAATTTTTCAAAATTATAGGAAAAAGGACAAATTTATAATTGTATCAAAGTTCCCTATTAGTTTATCTAATGTTTAAAATATTAATTGTAGATACAATTTTACATAGTATGACTGTATCTTAATTTATTGTTTAAATTAACATTACAATGGTAGTTCTGACTTCTACTAATTTATACATAAAATTACATCAAAACTCTGTAAAAGTTTAAAAGGAATAAAACGAGCATGCATTGCTGTTGTCTTCTATCTAATCAATTATTGTAATTGTTTGGAGAAAAGATACTACCACTTCTGAGGCTAAGAGTAAGAAAAACTTTAATTGATACGCATTAAACTCCAAAAGCATTTCCAAAGTCCATAAGGATATAAAAGTTGGTCAAATAAGGAATGGAATTATATAAGGTGAAATTTTAATTTAATTTGAAGTCCTAAATATTAGGAACTTCTACATAGTTTAAATAAGAAAAGATTTTGAAAAAATAAAAAAGTTTAGTTGATTCTGAAGTCCTAACTATTAGGGAAATAATTAAATGACTATTTGGTCTAGTGTGAGATCTACTTTTTAAGGGTAGAAAAGGTGAACGACATTTTGCTAAGGGACTTCATGCTATTAATATAATAAATATAGATAATCATTGATTTGCACATTATTGATTGGTTTAGTATGTGGGATTATGAAGGTTAATTGGTTTCATACATTGATACAGGTCATTTTCATTAAATTGAGAGGGGAATGCATCTAGTGTCCCAAATGCATTCACCTTTCATCAGTCAGCATGAACTCTGCTGGCTTACTAAATTAAACTAGCTATTTTGATTTTTCTAAAACAGGAAAGCTGGCGCAGACCAAAAGGTATTGATTCTCGCGTTAGAAGAAAGTTTAAGGGATGTGTGCTGATGCCCAATATTGGATATGGGTCTGACAAGAAGACACGTCACTATCTTCCCAATGGCTTCAAGAAGTTTGTTGTGCACAATGCGAGTGAACTTGAGATCTTAATGATGCACAACCGGTAATGCACTAAGCAGTCCTATTCTATCATTCGCTTTGAGTTGTTTGATCATCTTTATTCCTGGCAGCTGATTGTATCTTTTCTTGTCAGAATTTACTGTGCAGAGATTGCACATAATGTGTCCACAAGGAAGAGGAAAGAAATTGTTGAGCGAGCAGCACAACTTGATGTGGTTGTGACGAACAAGCTTGCTAGGCTGCGCAGCCAGGAGGATGAATGAGCACATTGGCTTTAGTATCTTTATATTGTTAGTGTCTGGACATGTTCTATGCGTGCGTTTGACTGCAAATCAAATTTTGTTCGATATGGATTTTGGCCCATCCTTGTGTGGCTAATGTTAAAAACTTTTCAGATTTTACGTATGTACTCCAGTCCTCTGGGTTATAAGTTGCCACTATGGTTATAGTCTACATGCATCTATGGGGTTTGTAGACTATATTATACAAGAGTTGCTGAAACGGACCATAGGAAACTAGAGTTTTAGATCTCATCATTGGCAGAAAATGCTAGGTGCCTTGTTTTCATCTGCCTAGAGTTTAAATCTCAGCATTGGCAGTAAATTTTGTTGAAGTTAAGCAAGCTAATCCGTACACAAGACTTTAGAGTTTTGTTACAGAAGAAAGATCCAAAGGCAATTTGTGACGACCCAAAGGGTCTATCACCTGTTTTTAATTGAATTCTGTGTCCCCGAGGCCTTGAAAACCTCATTTAGAGTTGCCTCGATTTGCGTGCGCAGTCCGGGCGCGTAGCCGGAAAGCTTAAATAAGAAATTCTGTGAAAAATGTTAAGTTTTGATGTTAAAATGAATAAATTTGACTTTGGTTAACATTTTGGGCAAACGGACCCGGACCCGTGATTTGACGGTCCCGGAGGGTCCGTAGGAAAATATGGGACCTGGGCGTATGCCGGGAATCGAATTCCGAGGTCCCGAGCCCGAGAAATGAATTTTTTAGAAAAATTGTTTTCTGGAAATGTTTAAGAAAATTGGAAATGAAATTTGATTAGAACATGTTAGTATCGGGCCCGTATTTTGGTTCCGGTGCCCGGTACAGGTCTTATATATGATCTAAGATGTTTCTGTGAAATTTGGTGAAAAACGGATGTCATTTTACGTGATTCGGACTTGAATTGCAAAAATTGATGTTTTAAGAAGTTTGAGAGAATTCTTTGATTTTGAGGTTTAATTCGATGTTCATGATGTTATTTTGGCGATTTGATCGCACGAACAAGTCTGTATGATGTTTTTGAGTTAGTATGTATGTTTGGTTTGGAGCCCGAGGACTCGGGTGAGTTTCGGATAGGCGTCGGAGTGTTTTTGGACTTAGAAAATCTGGTGTTTTTGCTGGTTGCTGGTGTCCAGGTTTTTGTTCTATGCGATCGCATAGGAATGTCCGCGATCGCATAGAGTTAATTTTGGTAGTCATCAATTTGTTCTATGCGATCGCATTGATTCTTCCGCGGTCGCATAGAGTTGATTTTTGTAGTCATCAATTTGTTCTATGCGATCGCATTGGTTCTTCCGCGATCGCACAGAGTAAATTTTGGGAGGTCACAATTTGTTCTATGCGATCGCGTTGATTCTTCCGCGATCGCATAGAGTTAATTTTGATAGTCATGAATTTGTTATATGCGATCGCATTGATTCTTCCGCGATCGCATAGAGTAAAAATTCGCCCAGTTATTTTAAGTTCTAAAAACAGAATGCATTACGGGATTCTCATTATTTTTCACAACTTCTTCTTCTCCAAAGCTCTTAGGCGATTTTTGAAGCATTTCTTCACCAAAACTACTTGGGTAAGTAATCTTTAACTTGTTTTCTTCCACTTTCATCAACACCCACTAGATTTCTAGGCCTAAAATATGGAATTTAAGGTAGAAAATTAGGGATTTGGGTAGAACTAGGGCTTTTTGATTTTTCTTGATTTAGACCTCGTTTTGGGGTCGAATTTGAAAACAAATTATATATTCGGGCTCGTGGGTGGATGGGTGATATGAATTTGGTCCGAACCTCGTGTTTTGACCAAGCGGGCCCAGGGGCGATATTTGGGATTTTGGGAAGAAAGCTTGGAAAGCTATAATTAGCCATTGGGTTTGATTTGTTTAGCATATATTGATACTATGAAGTCATTATTGTATAGATTTGATTGAATTGGAGCCGAATTCGAGATGGAAAGCGGTTGTGGTGGATTGATTTGACCGTGGAAGTTGAGGTAAGTGTTTGGTCTAACCTTAGCTTGAGGGAATAGGAGTTGAGTCTTGTTTTTGCTACTTGCTAATTGTCGAGTACGATGTATAGGCATGGTGACGAGTATCTATACATTGGTGTCTAGCATGACCGTGAGTCCTATATTGTGATTTCCATGACTTCGTTGTATTATTCATGCCTTGGTGATTATTACTATTTGTTGTGCAAAGATGTGGAAAGAATCGTGACTTATGGATATTGAGGAGCGTTGGCTCCAGTTGTATAGCGAATTGCGAAAGTATAAGTGATAATTGAACCTCTAGAGCATTGGCTCGAGTTGTGAAGTGAATTGTGAAGTAAAAGTAAGGAGAGAAAGGATCATTATGCTGTCCCTTGGCGGGCTATTGTTGAGTTGTAGTTTCCTTGTACCGTGTTCTTAATTGATATTACGGACGCTTAGATTAATGCTTCCTTGTGTTGAGTGATGACTATAGTTATAGCTGAGATAGCTAAGTGTTGTCATAGGTTGGTTATAGCTGAGGTAGTTAAGTGTTGTCATAGGTTGGTCATAGCTGAGGTAGTTAAGTGTTGTAACAAGATTGATCATAGTTGTGGTAGATAGATGTCGTAACTGGAATGATTATAGTTGTGGCAGTTAGACATTGTAACAGGATCGGTTATAGCTGCGGTAGTTAGATGTCGGGACCAGTGCGGTTATAGATGTTTCTCCCTTGCCGGGACATTTGATTTGATATTTTGTTCCCTTGCCGGGAAGTCATTATATTGTTGTTCCCTTGCCGGGAAGTTATACATTGTTATCCCCCAGTCGGGATTATTTTGTTATATTGTGATTATGAAATGGGATCGTATGGCACGCCGACCACTTATATATTATGAAATGGGATCGTGTGGTACGCCGACCACTTATATATTATGAAATGGGATCGTGTGGCACGCCGACTACTTATATATTATGAAATGGGATCGTGTGGCACGCCGACCACTTACATATTATGAAATGGGATCGTGTGGCACGCCGACCACTTATATATATATTATGAAATGGGATCGTGTGGCACGCCGACCACTTATTCTGCGTTAGAAGAATTCAGTGGTAGTTTCCTTATTTATCCCTGCTATTCTGTTTATCTGCTACCCCCAACAGCATGTTCCCCTCCCAGTCTCAATTATTACTTTCCGCTGTTATTTTGTTGTACTTGTATATATAGATATATCTGCACAGGTTTGTTTGGTAGTCCTGTCTAGTCTCGTCACTACTTCGCCGGGGTTAGGCCAGGCACTTACCAGCACATGGGGTCGGTTGTGCTGATGCTACACTCTGTGCATCTTTTTGCACAGATCACAGCGCCGGAGCAGCAGCTTTTGAATAGCAATAGTCGATTGGGAGTTGATTTCAGTCCAGGGACATTCGAGGTAGCCTTGCTGACGTCCGCAGGCCCGAAGTCCCTTTCTACTTTATTCAGTTTGTTATCATTTGTACCGAAGCAGACAGTTTTATGTTTCATTCAAACCTTGTATTTAGTATTCTCTAGACGTTCGTGAGTATTGTGACACCAGTCTTGGGTAGAGGATCTTGTTAAACTTCCGCATTTTTCTTTCAGTGAATTACTATTTGAGACTTCCGCTTTATCATTCAAGTTTTGTTTTTATTAAATGATCGATAATTGCTAAAAGAAGTAAATTAACTTGGCTTGCCTAGCTCCCATTAGTAGGCACCATCACGACTCCCGAGGGTGGAAAAATCCGGGTCGTGACACAATTGAAGCATTTTGTTTGAGGTGTGCTAGTAGATACAGCTCCTCCATTTTTGGCTTGAAGATGAAAAGAAATTTTGAGAGTTTACTTAAGAAACTGCTTATCTTATACTATCAGTTGACCATCTTAATTTGATTCTTACTCTTGTTTGACATTCTTTGGCGTTGGTTCAAGTTCATTTATATGATAATGCTAGTCTCTATTTTTAAGAATTTGGTCTCTCCAAAAGAGTGTTTCTGAATGCGATTGTCCATTTCTATATCGGCAAAGGGTCAAATATACTCGTGTACTATAAGGAAATGTTTAAATATACTTTTCTTTATACTTTGGGTTTAAATATTTTCCTATCTTAATACTATTGGTTCAATTATACCCTCTTCTGTTAAGTTTGTCCAACAACAACAAAATTATATTTAGAATATATTTTGGTCTGCTGTTTTGTTCATATTAATGTAGATAATTAAAATTTTACGAAATTTAAATCCATAAGAAATTTTATCATAAATTAAATATATACTAGTCAAAATAAATATTATGGGCTAGTATAATTTGGTCAATTATTTAAATCTAATAAAATTGATTTAAATAAAGGTCTAATATATTACTAGCCCATTACTTGGTCTTCTATCAAATGGGTCGGCCCATAAGCCTCAAGCCCAATAGCCCACTAGAGTTTTCTTGGAGGCTACTCCATCCCATCCTATATAAAGGAGTCAAAGGACAAGGCTAGAACAAATCAAATAAGCAGAAGGAAAGGCTAAAAAAGCTCTGAAGAATAGCATCAAGGTCTCCCTCCACATATGCAATCTTCGTCTGTGGTCAAAGGCAAACTCAAATCATAGGTGGATGGTTTCAGATCTTCTGTTCGTGATAACACAACACTAAATCCTGGTTCGTGACGAACGTCAAGTTGTTCGTGATGCACCACAAATCTGGAATCTATCAAGTTCTAGATCAAGCTCTCGAGCTCCTAAACCATCATTCGTGAGGAAAAGTATCAGAGGACTATATCTCTTTAGATTTGAGTTATTCTAGAGATTGTAACCCGATCACTTGAAATTGAATATAATATTTGTCACTATATTTCTTGTCTTGATTATTGTTTTTCAGGAACAAAATTTTAGTTGTCACAAATTTTGGCATGCCCAGTGGGACCATCTCTACTCTCGTCTCTTCTCAACTCTCAATAGTCAAGATCACTAAGATGGCTTCTAAGAAGATCGACTCAAAAGTTGGTGACACTAAGTTTTTTTCTGACATTGAAAGTATCCTGGATGCTACTATGGGGAGTCTTGGGCCAGTCACACGAAACAAGGCGATCATTTTGGGACAACACTCACTCCAAGTGTCATCTACACTAATGCATGTTTGGAGATCTTCATCATCTGGAGAAGAAAGGTCCTTTTCTAGCAAATTAGAAGGAGGAGATAATATCGCAGAAGTTGTGGA